CCACAGTTCTTCCCTGCCGTTTCTCTCCTGTGTGTGTCCTTTACTATTCACACAGAACACTTCATTTCTGACACTGCTGGTCACCAAACACGTGGAGGTTTTTCCCCCACACCCAGCAATTCTCTGCGACACCCACTGGGTGTCCTGCAATTTAACTCAATTCTGATGCCATCTATAAGGAGGTAGTGTCAGATCCCACAGGTTAAGGGCTCAGTTCTACAATACTGCCTCCTCCCACCCCCACTTCAGATGCCAGTCAAGAGCTCAGGTTGTCACTGGTGCTTCTGAATGACCAGCTGTAGATGGGAGGTTCCCGTGACTCCATCTCAGGTTCAATTAATTTGCTAGAGAAGCTCACAGAATTCAGGGAAATACTTACATTAAGCAGTTTATTAAAGGATATTATAAAGGATACAGATGAACAGCCAGATTAAGAGGTCTGTAGTGCAGGGTCAAATGTGGAAGCTGCTGTCCCCATAGAGCTGGGTGTGTCGCCCTCCGGGTGTGGATGTGTTTGCCAACCTGGATGTTCTCTGAACCTCCTACTTTTGGAATTTTTGGAATTTTTATGGAGATTTCATCATGAGGCACAATCCATTTTCAGCCCTTCTCCCCTCTTTGGAGGATGGGATGCAGGGCAGAAAATTCCAAGCTTCAAATCATGGCTTGGTCTTTCTGGTGACCGGCTCCCATCCAGGAGCTCACCCAGAGTCACCTCATTACAATAGAAGATGCTCCTAGTGCTCTTATCACTTGGGAATTTACAAAAGTTTTAGGAGCCCTGTGTCAAGACAGAGTCAGAGACAAATGTTAGAGTTAAGAGCTACTCCTGGCGCTCTTGTCACATAGGAAATCCCAAGGGTTTTAGGAGCTCCGTGCCGAAAACAGGGATGAAGATCAAATATATATTTCCTATGATAAATCACAATGTCACAATCTCTATGGTGGGTCATGGCTCTAGTGGGCCTTGCTCACCTTGCTCACCCTGGGCCCTCAGGGTTGCAGAGGTCAATAAGCCCCGCCTTAAGATAAGGTCTCTCTTTCACTACTGGGCCACAAGCTGGACAGTGGCATTGCTGCTCCGTCCCGTCGTGAAGGGTCATCTGGTCGAGTGAGGGTGAGGTCTGGTGCTGTTTAATGAATTAAGGAGAATCGGTCTGGTTCCAGGGTCTAATCCCACTGAAGACATTTTGAATGGGGCCCGAGAAGTCATTCTCTTTAGATCCCAAATAAGAAATTGTCCCCAAGGGTGGAAAGGAGAAAATTCCCTTGGCATGGAAGGTAAAGGGCAAAAGACAGAGAGAGAGAGAGAGAGAGAGAGAGAGAGAGAGGAAACTAAAAAGGCTATAGAGGGAAAAGTAAAACCTCCAGGATGATGTGGAGTTTCTTTCCAGAAGCCCAGAGAGAGCAGTTTCCAACTCAGAGGACTGCCCAGCTTAGCTCCCCATGGGATTTCACCTGGTCCAGGGTCCCTGGGGATGCTCGGAGAAAACGAGATGGAGTGAGGGGCCTTCTCAGGAGAGACCGCCTCAGGCAGAGTGAGCCGAGGGCCTCCAGAGCTGACTACTGTAGTCGGGGTTGGGGTTCCTGGAGGGGTTCTGTCACAGAGAGGAGAGGTGAGATCAGAGCCCCGAAGCTGTGCCCTGGAACCTCAAGCAGTGGCCCGTGGCTCTTGGTCTCTGGCCAAAGCCTCCCACTTGAGGAGGGCTTGACAGAAAGGGCAAAGGGCTAGAGAGTCTCTTCAGAGCCAAATCTTTCTGTCAGCTGCCAGCAGAGGGGCCTGCAGTCCTGGGAAGTAAGGAATGTGGGTGAAGAGCACTGCTGGCCTTGGATGAGGGTGACAGGTGTGAAGGAACCACACTCCCACACTAGCGTTCCTCCAGCTGAGGCCTACCCAAATAGACCATCAATCCTACATCGGGGCCTGGCCTGACCTGACATCTTCCAGACTAGACAAGAGAGGAGGGCCGGGGGTCTCCCGTTAAACTTGTAAATGCTGGGCCAACACCACCCCTGATATGATCTGTTCCACATGCTTAACAGCCTAAGAGAATAATGTTAGGGTTGCACCTTTACTGCATATCTCTTTCTAGAATCGTGACTCCACAAAGAATATAGCTGAAGTGTGTCTGTGCGTGAGAGTGAGTGCGTGTGAACACATGGTCATGTGCACCCCCACCCTAAGGGCTTGTGACCTCAGGGGAGACAGAAGCTAGAAGCATGGATGGATTGTGCGAACCCATCAGGCAGCTCTGAGTGGACACAGATGGGCTCTGTCCATGAAGTGTCTCACACCTGAAGGGGAGAAGCAAGAGGTAAATTTGCATCGGAAGAAAGAGAATGGCTTTTAGCTCCATTGAGAGCGGGAACTGCTGTGTCTTAGTAACCCCAAGACCTAGAAGGTTCTTAGTACAAAGTGTTGCTTAATAAATTCTCGTGAGTGAATAAGTAGCAAGCAAGTTTCAGGAGCCCTGCTTTCCTGGTTGCCACTCGGGCCCCCTGAGCATCCTGCCAAAGGCAGCTGAGTGGAGCGTTGGGGGGAGGGGGAGGTGTTGGGAGGTGAGGAGAGCTGAGGCCCCAGCACAGCCCTTAGTCAGAGGTGCAGAAGAGAGGGAGAG